ACGGTTTAGAATCCTTAAAATAACAGTAAAAATAATCGAAAATCAACAATGAAATAATAGTTTTGTTTAAATTTCTTAATCAGCTGAGCCCTATTATAGTTCGCAAAAATCCGAGCTATATTATTACATTACTCTAAGGGAAATACCGCAAATAATCGATATTTTTGACTCCGCCCCTAATCACATGCTTCATTCTTTTAAAGCTTTGCGATTTGTTCGTCAGAGGCAGCACATTTTGTCGAGAGGTTGACCAACTTTAAGAATATATAAACAAGGGTATATGTTAGGCACAAAGAGATGTAACACTAGCCTTTAATAAAAAATAAAAAAAAGGTAGAAATCTAAAGGATCTGGAAAATATTGACAAACTAGTATAATTTTTATTATTGCAATACCAAAATCTGATCAATAAATAATCTTCAGTAAATATTTATTATTAAAAACTTTGCTACCTTTGAAGAAAAGAAGCCTAATTTGTTTTACTGCAATAGCACAAAATTAAAAATATTTCAAACACAGTAAGTTTTACGTGTGGTAAACCTTAATAAAATTTACCTTTATTTCTATCGTAGAATCTAAAAATAGAATAATATACAGGGTGTTCCATTAAAACAAATACAACTGTAATATTTTCTACTTATTTGGGACACTCTGGATCTTGTAAAATTAGTTTTAAATTGTAACTCTAATAGTCCTTCATCGAACCCAAAAATGGTTGAATTTTTCTATGGTATTACCATAGAAAGGCGTTTTAATTTTTCGAACTTTTTTCTCTTGTAAAGACAATCCGGGGACATATTTATACTGTATATAAATTGCATATTTTATTTGAGATAATAATCCCTAAAATAAATCATAATATTACTAGTTTATTTTTGCTTATATAAAGATAATGTATGAAAATAATAATAATTGGCTTCTTATGGCATCCGTATATGCATTTATTTTTAATTTTGGATAATTATAATAATATTTTGAGTAGCGCCCTGCAAGGTATCTGTTGTTATTAATATTTATTTCAGAAAGAAAAAGAAAAACGATTGTGGATATATTGTATTTAAATAAGACAATAATTCAATTTCAACAAAAGTTTATAAAATACTTACCCCTGAACAATTTAACCAATCCACAATAATGAACATTCACTGACTATTAAAAAAACTTCAAATCAATCCGGCAAAACACAATATTTAGGAAGAGGTGGATAGAGAGATTTCAAATTGTTCAAATATTTCTTGGTCACGTCCTCATAGACATGTTCCAAGCCCGTCTGCGGAAACATCGAAGGATAAGCACATACCGGTATTCTGCCTCCAGCACACTCGGTAGAAGCTCTAATAGTACCGTTGTTTTTATATACCCAATAAGGCAATTCTATCCAAACATGGGCACTTCCAAGGAAAATTGTCTGATGTAACATCTTTAGCCGAAATTTTATTTAACACTTCATTCGCCAAAAAATTTAAGTAATTACTATCCAACAAAAGCGATTTTATTTTCATTTGGTTCGGAAACATATCCAGTTATTTCCCTGAATCTGTTGCTGCGCAGACCCAAATATGCTAACTCGATACCTTCAAATGCATTTTCGTGAATAATGGAAATTTCGTTATGGTTAAAGTGAATTTGTCTTAAGTTTGTCAAACTGGCAAACGCTCTTCGAGGAATAGTTCTAATCTTGTTGTTCTGGAAGTTCATAATCTCCAGCTTAATGGTATTGGTGAACCATTATCTGTTCCAGTGTTCCAATTTGTTGCCGCCAGCCTGGATGCGTTTAAAAGCAAATTATGAGCAAAAGCCAAATCCTCGATGACATCAATTTGGTTGTTGTGGATCCTGAGAAGTTCTATTGCGGGAAGTTCTTCAAAGGCACCTCGAGGTATTTCTTTGACGTTTCCATAAGATATTTGGACATTTTTTAGTTTTGGCACATTCCTGAATAACTTGGCGTTATTGGTAAACAGTTCTCTGTCCCAATGCTTTATTTTGTTCCTGTCAGCATGGACAGCATTAATAAAGTCTCGATTAGCCTAAGCTAACTTCTCTATGATATCAGTTTCATTGTTGTGGATTCAAAGGTTCACTGCATTTGAACAGAAGAAGTTTCTCTACCGCACTGTACTTCTTTGATAACATATTTTTACACATTTCAATATCGATATAATCCTAAAAAAATATCATATGATGTTTTGGTTCAGTTTTGATTGAACTATACCATTTTTTTTCTTTATTAAAAATTGCTTTACCGCATCATTCTATTTGATGTTATACAGGTTTTTCCGGTCCAGGTCAGTTTATAACTATAAATGCTACTTGTTTATTAAATCGTAGTGAATAACATCCAGAACATTCGCAATTTGGAATTAAACAATTAAATTAATTAATATTCTGAATAGGAGATAAACCACAAGGTAATAAATTATTCTATTCTGTGATAATGTATTGATTTTACACATTATTTATTACAAATTATAACCATTGTCAAGTACAGATTTTAAATGCTATTAATAATCGCTATGATACCTGATTTCATTTACAATATATACAGGGTTGTTCACCACATACGACGCGGAGTATTGTAGCTAAACTATTTAATTTTTGCAAATTGTAAGTTTTGGGTTCGTTCAAGGACTATTAGAGCTACAATTTAAAAATATTTTTACAAGATACAGAGTGTCCCAAATAAAAAATATCAAAGTTATATTTTTTTAAATGGAACACCCTGTATATTATTACATTTTTAGTTTCTACGATTAAAATAAAGGTAAATTTGATTAAGGTTTACCGCATTTCAATCTTACCGTTTTTGAAATACTTAGGTTTTTGTAAAATACAGTAATAATTATAATGCTTTATTTCTCTAGGCATATTTAAGTTTTTAAAACCAAATATTGTACTGAGGTATTTCTATTCACTAAATTTTGTGTTGCAATAATAAAAATTATACTATCTTATACAGAGTGTCTAACAATTTATTTTAAATAATAACTGGTTTTAAACGGCAATAACTCTTTAATTTAAATGGAACACCCTGTATATTTTATGAGAATCAGATGCACAATTTCATTGTCTATCAAATTATGTTATATCATTTTTTACCTATGTCTTCAGGTTCTCGTAGAAAATGCAGTTTCTTATAATTTAGACCTCAATTATCAAAATACCCATGGAATATTGACATTTTAGATTATTTTTAAAGACGTAACAAATTTTTAAAGGGTACAGATACCAATATTGTCGATATAGTTCGTTTATGTCATTAAAAAATAAAAAAATGTTTAAATATTTATAGAAAGGACCATTTAATATGATTCCAGTATTCAAACTACATTAATGGACTGCTTGCATTGATTAATAATAATTGCTCCAAATACTAAAAACTGAATTTTCTATGTATATTAGACAGTGTGGTAAAAAGTAACACCTTAAAAATGTTATTTCATTTTTTGAGGAATGCTTATTTATAACAACAGAGATGTTCATTTTCATAACTTATTATTATATTGATTTCTGATTCCAAATCCCCATTTATTTGGAATAATTTATTAACTAACACAATTAAATATGTAATTAATATTTGGGCGGAAATACTGGTGGTATATTTAATTATTGGTATAATCTTTTATGAAGATTTAAATAGTTTTATTTTTGTATACAAATAGACTGGTAATATTATCTTTTTTAGCACCTGTACATTTTGTACATTTGTTGTTTTAAAAACAATATAAAATGTCAATAATCCATGGGTGTATTGATAAATGAGGTCTAAATTATTAGAAAACGCATTTTCTACCAAACCTTGAAGAGATAGGTAAAAAATGGTACAATACAATTTGATGGACAATTAAATTGTGCATCTGATTCTCCTAAAATATACAGGGTGTTCCATTTAAATTAAACAAGTTATTGTCGTTTAAAGCCAGAAGTTATTTAAAATAAATTTTTAGACACTCTGTATGAAGTAGTATTATTTCTATTATTGCAACACAAAAACTAATCAATAATTAAACTTCAGTAAATATTTAGTATTAAAAACTTTGATACCCTTGGAGAAATGAAGCCTTGAAATTTTTACGGTAATTTTACAAAATTGAAAATGTTTCAAAAACGGTAAGTTTTAAGGATGATAACCTTTATCAAATTTACTTTTATTTTAATCGTATAAACTGAAAATGTAATAATATACAGGGTGTTCCATTAAAAAAATTCAACTTTGATATTTTTTATTGATTTGGGACACTCTGTATGTTGTAAAAATATTTTTAAATTGTACCTCTAATAGTCCTTCAACCAACCCAAAACTTACAATTTGTAAAAATCTAATCGTTTAGCTACAATACTCCGTGTCGTATGTGGTGAACAACCCTGTATATTTTACCGATAATAAAATTATACCAATCATTGCCACTTTGATATGACATAATTAATCCATAGAATAAACTATAACATTCTTTTTTTATTTTTCTTTATATAAATATAATTTATGGAAATTAATAAAAATAGTTTCTCATCATGTCCCCATATGCATCCCATCCGTTTTTAATTTTAAAAAATCATAATTATGTTTTAAATAGCTATATGTAAGGTATCTTTTGTTTGTTAATGTTAAATTTAGAAAACAAGATAAACAATATGTAGATAAATTTTATTTAAAAAACACAATAATTTAATTTAAACAAAATGTTATACCGTATGATCGAAAAAAAATGGCGTCCAGTTGGCTGGTAAATGACGATCGATGACATTTCCCATATAAATTTACATATAAAATGACAGCGATCTTCATGGCATAGCCATCGTTGACGCCGTTTTTTCTCGATCATACGGTAGAACACTTATCGCGGAAAAATTTCCGTAAATAATATAAATTCTTTAAAACTCAACACAAACAGACTTAACATAATAGTCTCTTTTGAAAATTAGCGTTAAATATCAAATCTTAAATATATCCAACAAGGCCACAATAATAATCGTTCACTGACTATTAGAAGAACTTCAAATCAATCCGGCAAAACACAATATTCAGGAAGCGGTGGATCGAGAGATTTCAAATTTTTCAAATATTTCTTTGTCACGTCTTCATCGACATGTTCCAAACACGTCTGCGAAAACGTCGAAGGATAAGCACATACTGGTATTCTGCCTCCAGCACACTCACTAGAAGCTCTAATAGTACCGTTGTTCTTATACACCCAATAAGCAATTCTATCTAAACATGGACACTTCCAAGGATTATTGTCTAACGTTACATCTTTAGCCGAAATTTTATTTAACACTTCATTTGCCAAAAAATTTAAGTAATTACTGTCCAACAAAAGCGATTTTATTTGGTTCGGAAACATATCCAGTTTTATTTCCCTCAATCTATTGCTGCGAAGACCCAAATAGACTAAATACTCGATACCCTAAAATGCGTTTTCGTAAATAATAGAAATTTCGTTGTGGTTAAAGTGAATTTGTCTTAAATGTGTCAAACTGGCAAACGCTCTTCGAGGAATAGTTCTAATCTTGTTGTTCTGGAAGTTCATGATCTCCAGCTTGGTGGTATTGGTAAACCATTCCCTGTTCCAATGTTTTAATTTGTTGCTATCAACCTGGATGCTTTTAAGAGAAACGAGATTAACAAAAGCTAAATCCTCGATAACATCAATTTGGTTGTTGTGGATCCTGAGAAGTTCCATTGCGGGAAGTTCTTCGAAGGCACCTCGAGGTATTTCTTTGATGTTTTCGTAAGATATTTGGACATTTTTTAGGCTTGGCACATTCCTGAATAACTTGGCGGTATTGGTAAACAGTTCTCTGTCCCAATGCAATGCTTTAATTTATTCCTGTCAGCCTAGACACCATTAATAAAGTCTAGATTAGCCTAAGTTAAGTTCTCTATGATATCAGTTTCACTGTTGTGGATCCAAAGGTTCATTGCATTTGTATAGAAGAAGTTTCTCTACCGCACTGTACTATTTTGATAAAATATTTGTACACACTTCAATATCGATATAATCGTAAAAATATATCATATGGTGTTTTGGTTCAGTTTTGACTATATATAGGTATATAACTATACCAATTTTTCTCTTGATTAAAAATTGCTTTACCATTATTCGATTTGATTTCATACAGGTTTTTCCGTTCCAGGTCAGTTTATGTTTATAACTATAAACGCCTACTTGTTTATGAAATCATAGTGAATAACACCGAGAACATTCGCAATTTGCAATAAAAAATTAAATTAATTACTATTCTGAATAGGAGATAAACCACAAACAAATAAATTATTCTATTCTGTGATGATATACTGATTTTACACATTATTTATCACAATTTATAATCACTTTTAATTACAGGTTTTAAATGCCATTAATAATCGCTGTGATACCTGATTTCATTTACAGTATAAAACAGGGTTGCTGTTATGTATGGAAACTGTAGATTATTAGGTAAAATATAGGAGGTACCGCAAAAAGTTAAATATAAAAGTAATAGGGCTTATAAATATCTAATAGCGGGTAATAAATTTCAATATAAAGAGTCTGTCATAAAGTTGTGGCACATCAAAGTTTCATTTTTTTTTAAATGGAACCCCCTGTATATTATTGCATATTTCGATTCTTCCTTCAAACCTAAGCAAAAATCGAAATACACACAATGTATGAACCAACCGTTTCCGAGTTATTGACTTTTGAAAATATAACTTAAATAATTTGATTTAATTAATTTCGATATGTTCAGTTTCATTTAACGATGCCATTCTGCCGAAACTGTGATACTCTTTAATATTTGACATTAGTTCATATTTGACATTAGACATAATATTCGCATTTATAGATTATATAGACTTGATATAGAGTATATCAAGTCTGGAACTTAGAAAAATTTCCTTTAACATTTCAATTCTTCAATTAATGTACATTGTGTATTACGATTAATGCTTAAAATTGAAGGAAGAATTGAAATATGCAATAATATAAACGGGGTTTCGTTTAAAAAAATAAAGTTTTATGTGACACAATTAGTAGTAGCTAACAGGAATTTAAAAATCCATTAGAACAGTATCACAGTTTCGGCAGAATGGCATCATTAAATCAAACCAAATACTTCGAAATTAATTAAATCGAGTGATATTTTCAAAACTATCACTTCGACCGTTTCCATACATAAAAGCAACCCTGTATATTTTACCGATAATAAAATTATACCAATCATTGCCACTTTGATATGACATAATTAATGCATAAAATAAACCATAATATTATATTTTTATTACTTTTCTTTATATAAATATACTTAATTTATGGAAATAATTAAAAACAAATACCGTATGATTGAATAAAAACGGCGTCAGCGATGACGATCGATGACATTTCCCATATAACTTTACATATAAAATGATAGCGATCTTCATTTCATAGCCATCGCTGACGCCGCACCGTTTTTATTCGATCATACGGTAGTTTCTTCTCATATCTGTGTATGCATCAATTTTTAATTTAAAAAAATTATAATTATATTTTAAATAGCAGTCTGTAAGGTATCTTTTGTTTATTAAGGTTAATTTTAGAAAGGAAGATAAAAAATATGTGGATAAATTTTATTTAAAAAAACACAATAATTTAATTTAAACAAAACGTTATAGAACACTTACCGTGGAACAATTCCCGTAAATAATAAGAATTCTTTAAAACTCAACACAAACAGACTTAACATAATAATTTCTTTTAAAAATTAGCATTAAATATCAAATCCCAAATGTTACCAACGAGTCCACAATAATAATAATTCCCTGGCTATTAGTAGAACTTCAAATCAATCCGGCAAAACACAATATTCAGGAAGCGGTGGATCGAGAGATTTCAAATTCTTCAAATATTTCTTGGTCACGTCCTCATCGACATGTTCCAAACACGTCTGCGAAAACGTCGAAGGATAAGCACATACTGGTATTCTGCCTCCAGCACACTCACTAGAAGCTCTAATAGTACCGTTGTTCTTATACACCCAATAAGCAATTCTATCCAAACATGGACACTTCCAAGGATTATTGTCTAACGTTACATCTTTAGCCGAAATTTTATTTAACACTTCATTCGCCAAAAAATTTAAGTAATTACTGTCCAACAAAAGCGATTTTATTCTTATTTGATTCGGAAACATATCCAGTTTTATTTCCTTCAATCTATTGCTGCGAAGACCCAAATAGACTAAATACTCGATACCCTCAAATGCATTTTCGTGAATAATAGAAATTTCGTTGTGATCAAAATGAATTTGCCTTAAGTTTGTCAAACTGGCAAACGCTCTTCGAGGAATAGTTCTAATCTTGTTGTTCTGAAAGTTCATGATCTCCAGCTTGGTAGTATTGGTAAACCATTCTCTGTTCCAGTGTTCCAGTTTGTTGCTGTCAGCCTGGATGCTTTTAAGAGAAACGAGATTAGCAAAAGCCAAATCCTCGATGACATCAATTTGGTTGTTGTGGATCCTGAGAAGTTCCATTGCGGGAAGTTCTTCGAAGGCACCTCGAGGTATTTCTTTGACGTTTCCATAAGATATTTGGACATTTTTCAGTCGTGGGACATTCCTGAATAACTTTGATGTAATATGCACAATGGGACAGCCCCAAAATGATATCGTTTGCAACCAAATTAGGTTTCTAACTGAATCTTTACCTAAAGATGTAATTGCTTGGTGTCTGACGTAAATTTCTTTAGCTGTCTGGCCGCCAAAAGCAACTCGCTCTATGCAGCTGTTTATTGTTTGGTTAAACGATCGGTTTTCCTTATCTTTGGCTGATATTGTGATGTCCTTGAACCATCTGCAACAATATACTGAGAGAAAACAATAACACACGAGCAGCACTATCTGTTTATTCATGGCGAATATATTTTCTTAACTAATTTTAATACTAAGAGATTCCTTTCTTATTCTAGGTCCAGTGGGTCAATATCTCAAGACACGGAACAAAATTAAGAATTGGATTTTTTAAAATATCGACCGAAACAAAATAAGATAACATAATGTTTGGGGTTGTAGCGTAAATAAGTTTTACTTCAAAAATCTTCCTGGAGTGACACTGTCTCTAATTATTAAATTTTGAAATATAAAAAATAACATTAATTAAAAACAATGTATGTTATTTCATAATTCTTTATTGTCGACCACCTTCAAATAAATATAATATATTTTCAAAAAAATATTTTATTGTATCCCATCATCAAGAGTGATCTTTTTTCAACATTCCAGGGTAAAATGCTTCAATTTTAATAAATCCAAATTTCAGTTTTAGTTAATATAAACTTCCCTAACAGTGGCGGATACAGACGGGGGTCCAAGGGGCCCGTGCCACCCTAATATCTATAAATTGGGTTAAAAATGACGCCTTAAAAGCATATTATTTTACATTACTTTTTATTTGGGCCCCCCTAAAATAAATTCCTGTATCCGCCCCTGTCCGCTAACACATACAAGCTTCGAATGCATGTATTTGATATCAATAAAACTTTTAGTTACGTAATCGAGGGCGCGATATTTAAATTCATTGTTGCCAACCATGGACATATTCGGCGCCGGGTTTATTAACTAGAAATTATGCGCTGGGGATTCAGGTGGTAGTTCTGCTGTAAAAAATGTCAGATTGCCACATTTACTTATTTATTTCCTGACATTGTCATTCGTTTTGACACTTTAGTTTTGTATAACAAGTTTTTGGTTTAAATAAATAGTGTTGTGATATTTTAACCTTAAAAATGTTTACAAGCCTAGACCTCGCAGTCGAACATTATTCTTTTTAGAACCTCTTTTAGTGCGAAGTGTACAAGATAGCTTAATAGCCGTACAAAACTCATCGAAACTTTATTAGAATATTTTGAACCGGAAAGCGATAGTAATAGCCCTTTATCTCCCTTGAGTGCTGTTAAGAAGGTGAGTTTTGTCGATGTAAATAATAACTATTACAGTTGAGGGTTGGAACCTTTGGTGTTACACAGCAAAATAAAACACTAAATCACCACAATACACCAAAACACTTTTACTTCTACACTGGACGCGCGATTCGCTAACCATGTTAGCATCATCAGCAGATGATTATAAACTAAAGTACAATCTACAAGTTGAGCGTTTATATATTCGCCCAGTAGGTACCGAGTGGGCGTGGCAAAATCTAGCCAACCGAGTCAGAGCCTACTGAGAAGGCTCAGTAGGCTCTGACTACTGAGAAGGCGGTAATCTAACTGTTACGCTCAGTTGGCTCTGACTCGGTTGGCTAGATTTTGCCACGCCCACTCGGTGCCCACTGAGCGAGTATATAAACGCTCAACTTGTAGATTGTACTTTAGTTTATAATCATCTGCTGATGATGCTAACATGGTTAGCGAAACGCGCGTCCAGTGTAAAAGTAACAGTGTTTTGGTGTATTGTGGTGATTTAGTGTAATTTTATTTTGCTGTGTAATACCAAAGGTTCCAACCCTCAACTGTAATCATGTTAGCATCATCAGCAGATAATTAAAACTGTAGTAGTTAGTTTTAATCATCTGCTGATGATGATAACATAGTTAGCGAAACGCGCGTCAGTATAAAAGTAAAAGTGTTTTGGTGTATTGTGGTGATCATGTGGTGATTTAGTGTTTTATTTTGCTAAATAATAACTGTTTACATACATATTTATAATTAATTCATTTTTGTTTTCTAAAATATTTTGATTAACAGAAAATATATTATAGGGGGCAACACTATACTGGTCAAGCTTAATCACGTGACTAAAAGTTTATTTGGTATGTACTGTATTTTGAATGTTTTTATGATTGGACAAATAAACAAACACCATTACTTACGAAACACATACATTAGAAGATTAAATCAAAGACAGTTATAAATGAGGAAAAAAATATATAACCTATTAAACATCGGTTTGTATTTTTGACCGAAAATAATTATTTTAACCCACAGGAAAGTTTTCATATGATTAAATTCCACGAACAGAAAAAATATCAATACGGTATTTTCTCATTTTCTGTTAAATTACTACTTATTATGACAATTATCAATATTTACTGTTTATATCCTAGATTCTTGGTCGCTTGTGTGTTAATACTATATATAGATTTAGTTCACTTGTGCATATGTTTATTAGGATGAAATAAGTATGAGTATAGGTAATAAATCTATATTTTCATTAATATCAATATAACTGACTGTTTTAAACGGTTTATTTTCCTATCTAATGTGTAATATATCTTAATTTAATAATTTTATTATTAAACAACAAGGATCTTCTCTTAAACCTAACTTATTTAAATTTTAAAACTAACTTAAAATTAATGTTTTTTTCCGAATTTATTTTATATAAACTTTTTCCATATTTGATATGCTGGGTAAAACGTATTGGTGGGCTAATTCTCCTCCTTCAATTACCCAAATTGTTCCAGTTTTGGCACGTTCTATTACTTGGACAATGCCCGATGCTACCTCTTCTTCTCTAAAACGTTAAAATTGCATTATATGAAATATACATTCACCGGCACGAAATTATACCGGGTGGTCCGAACTGTATTCCAAAAACTTCGGCAGCTTATTTCGGCCGATAGAATAAGTAAAAAACTTCGTAAAAATGTATGTCCTAAAATGCTTAGTTTCGGAGATACAGGGTGTATAAATTTCAGAGTGTTTAATTTATGTCAATGAAGACAAATATTCATAATTTCTATTCCAAATATCTCGAGAACCATTACTCGTAGCGATTTTTACTAAGAGACCTTTTTTAAGTAAAAAATCGTCGTAAATGAATATTTTTTTTTTACTCAGTAGTTTTGTGCAAGTACGGAATAAAAGTTATTAGCCTTCAATCCAGTTAAAAATATGTAGGTGACGCCCTGTACAAGTAGGAGCCATATTGACATCAAAATCAAATTTCTCCTGTCTAAGCTCACCCAAATATGCAAGTGAAAACCCTAAAAATATGCGCATAAATATGTAACCGTTTTGGTCAAAATATGCACAAGAATAATGAAAATGTGCAAATAAGAAATGTTTCAAAAATAAAAATTTATTGATTTAAAGGTACATATGTATATATATTTGTACATATAAATTTCAATATGCATAGTAACATAGTAAAAGTTATATTAAAACAGACAATTTAAATTTTTGATATACAGGGCGATCAAACTAGATCTTGATATGCAATTATAACAACCATAACACGACTGTTGTTAATTGTTAAAACAATAAACAACTAAATATTTCCCGAAATTCTCAATTAAAAAATTACGTTTTCTGTCAGAGTACAAAAATTTATAAATGGAGAAACTCCTTTCCACATCAACTGACGTAAGAGGTGCGCTTTTTAAATTGCTCAATATCGCAAGATCCAAACCAATGGGTTCATTAAAACTTCCATTGAAAATATCAGCTACTTCGCTAAGAAGTTAAAATCCACTATTTTTTTCCATGACATCTTTGAATTTTTGAAAAATTTTGCCTCCGGTTTTACCTGCAACATTTTGAAAAGCAGCTTGGGATTGTTTTACTAGTTCTACACTTCGGGTTAATGGCAAATTAGATTCCGCCATTTGTGTTATTGTTTTAGGAAGAAAGCTATAATTTGTTTTTATAAACGAAAGTTCCTGTTTTATTTCCTTGTTTTCGAATAATTGCTTAACATCTGTAAGAGATTGTGAAGATTCGTCCGATAATTCAGATCTTTCAGTCTACAGAAATTGTTGCAATAAAATATTGAGGCTTCCAACCAAGTGCCTCATCTTGTAATAACAGGTTGCGGGGGAAGGGGAGTGTTTGGTAGTTTTTCTTTGTAGAACTGAATCCTCGTAGGTGCTTTAAGAAAGACTTTTTTCATGTTGGAAAATATTTAAAAGCGGAAACTGTTTTCTAATCTCCTTATAAATTTTATCAGATTATTTGGGGACAAACGACCGATCCTTGGAAAAAACCAGATCGTAAAGTTTATTACAGCTAGGTAGGCAAGAGAGGGTATAATTTTAATACTGGGAAAACCCACATCGATTTGTTCATTAAGCCCGGCATTTTTGTGTTGGCCACTCAACATTGTTTATTAACTCTTTTAAATATGCACAATATGCTATTTTTTAAGAATATATGCAAGTATTTAAAAAATATACATATAATATGCAAAACATGCCAAATATGCGCTTTGCATATTTGGGTGAGCTTACTCATGTCCAAAAACCCTCAGACACCAATTTTCATCCAAATATTGAAATTACTTCAGAAATTATTTGGAAAAAATCGAAATAAAAATGAAAGTTCCACACCCTGTATCTCCGAAACTAAGCATTTTAAGACATACATTTATACAAACTTTTTTAATTATTTTTATCTGCAGAATATCCTGCCGAAGTTTACGGAATACAGTACTGACACTGTATATTGTGTTCTAATGAATCGATTTTGATGACCTTTTAAGCAACTTGTACTTAAATTATTTGATTTTTTAATAGCTCTTTCTAAATTAAAAATGAAATTTTCCATCTATCAATTATACGAGGGAACACAAAATTTTAAATGAAAAATTATTTTGATGAATGTTTAGAATACCCTGTGGAAAATGTTAAAGAAGCAAGAAATTTCAAAATAATTTTATCATCTAGGTGCATTTTTCTCGCATTTTTTGGTTAACCTCAATAGTTTTTTTTTTGAGAAATTCGCTTTTGGAAAAGTCCACTAACATTTTTTTCGTAATTTTTACATTAAAACGGATTTTTAAATGCCTTTGCTTTTAGTCCCAGTGAACACATCTATAAAATAGTGATTTATGTAATGTCCCTGTTAGTGAAAAATCATATTATTATTGTCTGTTGGCTGTTGGGCAGTTATTCTTAGCAGAGATGGTTTTAAGTCTAGAAATTGTATCCGCAATAATTGCTTTAATTGATGATGGTAGACATCAACATTATGTCGCTAACAGATTTAGGTGTACACGAAGTACAGTGCAATCGGAATTGCACCTAATGGTGCGTTTAGACTTGAACTCGCACGAGCTGAACGTGCGAGCACGGCATTCGTTCGCGCTCTCGGGTCCGTTCAAATTAAAAACTTATTTTTCGACGAATGAAGTGATCCATTTGTGCGCACACAGCAGATTTGTGTTGGCGAAAATAATAGACCACCAAGAAATAGTCGAGGCTGCAGTCATTGTTATGCACAGCAAAATTATTAAAAAGGAGAAAAATCGAAAACATCGTCGCTGGTGGCAAACCTAAATTTTTAGAAATCGATATAATTTACTGCAACAACTTAGTGTCTTAGGAGGGCTATGATCAGTTCAAAAACTTTACAAGAATGACCAGACCGGACTTTGAATATTTACAAAATTTAATAACACCAAAACGAACAAAAGATACAAATTTTAGAATAGCAATTCCATTTATATCGACATATTCAATATTAATTTTTAAGAATGTTTAACATCCCATAATATAGGCAACTTTTCATATTCTTCAATAAATAATAACGAAGATTCATTGATCCACTCCATAATTTTAATAAAGAAAACGAAAAAAAATCACACACGCACGCACGAACGCAGACAAAACAAATTGCCGGTGCAAACTGAGCGTTCGCGTACACATAAAATCCCTTTGAGCACGGACCAAAAACCGACACCAGACGGCTCACGTTCGCGGCTGCTCGCGCACAGATAGATTCAGAGAGAGCGTGCGCGCACAGCCGTTTACACTTGAGCATTCGCGGAGGATCAGTGCGTACGTACTCAAGTCTAAACGCACCATAAGGAACGTAATGTAAGAGATAGTACTGTAAGAAGATTAAAATCGAAACAAATCTTATGTCAAAAAGGCCTGCTTCGGGACCACAAATTACTAATTCTGTTGTAGTTTACCAAACTTCAGTTAGATAATACTACAGATCAAAATAAAAGAACAGGTTTCTATGAACATAATGCCCTAAGATTCATTAAGAAGCTACAACCCTTACAGCCCTCACTGAGAACATATCTTGTAAATTTAGAGTAGGTATATCTGGTTGTGACTACATTGTTAATTGTTTTATCTACGTCAGTGAGTTAAGAAGCTCTTAACTCACGCATTTTGAGTGAGTTAAGAGCTTCTTAACTCACGCATTTTCATTACCGCACTCCTTGTTTAGATGACTACCAAAGAGAAAAAAATATTTTGTAAACATTTATTTTACACTAAATTGGAAAAATATGTTATTCCTAAATAGAGTTCCTTTTAATCTCCATAGTTGTGTAGTTTTTTTTCGGTGCACAATTTTTCATACTTAGAGTATTTATATTCATACTTCTGTTTCGATCTTGCTGGAAACAATCCAGAAATGGCTCTGAATGCCTCTTCTTCAATGTCAGAGGGAATACTTTCCGAATCGCTCATTTTTTAAACTAGTGACATCAATATTATTTACTGTCATATTGACATTGCCATGCATGGTATTATTTGAACAACGGTATTAAGGTAATTGATTTTTAAGATAGGTATATAGTTAAGTACAATAATTTTTAAAATTCATTGTGTGTTTTTATAGTTAGATGTAGATAAAATATTGTACAATGCACGCGAGTTAACTCCATTAAGATACTTGTGTGGTTACAAAACTCGCGTATCTTAATGATGCTGTTAAGTTAACTCACTTGTATCGTAAATATCTATTAAGACACTCCATTCAATTTCCTACTAGTTGCCTATAAAAAATAATGATTTCGCTACTACAACCTTTAAACGCAAATATCTTGAAAATTGTTCATGGTTTGTAGTTAAACGAAGAGTTCCATTCTTACGCAAAAAGTCCCAGCTTTTTATGTCATATGTTGAAATGACTGTATATATCAAGATAAAATAGTTTTAGTATTGAAAATACTTCTGGCCGCGTTTATATGGGTTTATACCCATCTTTGAAAAAACGACATGCTAGAAGCAACATGGGTTCAATAACCTGCCTGTCAACACGTACTTAAGTCGATAGAGCCGGCATTGATGAGCGAACAGGGCAAGGCCGTTCAAATCTGGACCGGCGGATAAAGAAAGCGGTATTATTTTAAAAGAAAATATGACAAGGCATGGGTTGTTAGGTACAGATTGGCTATTTTAATCTAACTATTTCCGTAAGGGGCAAATTATACGAGAAAGAGCAGAATCACATAAATAATAAATTTAGACTAATTACCATATTTTTTTATATGATTATTATTTTTTTAATTAACAACTTAGGACAAAGAAAAAGCTTGCATGATTTCCACCGCCAACAGGCGTTAAAACAAATGAATCCAAGGCGTTGTCAAATATTTATTGGGATAAGTTGATAAGTTTTACTGTTTGAATATTGTTGTAAATAATTATTATTATCATTTAATTAGTGCTAACTTATCAAAGTTCACAACAAGGCGAAATTTCAATAAAATCGGCCAACGGATCTTTGAGATATTAATAAAAAAATGTCTATTAGGAAACATCTTGACACCCTGTA